TAATTAAAGTAATTCAAATATCTCACACTTATAATTATACAGCTTTCAAGCTTAAATACAACCCAACGGAAAATGGTACAATAGCCATCCATTATAATATAATTTAAAATTTTCAAAAAAAAAGCAATCTAGTACTACTCACGAGCACTATTGGTCTCGAACCCCGTAAAAGAAAACCACAACGTGGGATAAGCTACACAACCCAATGAGGTTCCAAGACACTCTAACAGTTCAAATAAATCAAGTAGATTTGGCATATCATATGCATGGTTCAAGGTTACACAATGGCATGTTATCATGAGGTGATAATCATTGTACGGTAATTTGAGACATTATCATGGTATGAGACATTTATCATGAGACAGTTATTATGGTTCAAGACATTGGCATGTATAGTTCACGAGTGATTGGAGCTTATTACAGGCATAGCTCAGGATTTCATATTGACATTTTAGCATGAAACAATTATCATGATACCAGGTAAACATATACTGTAGGATACGGTGTTCCAGTGGAACTCTGTCGGTCATCTGTACCTTATGACTTCCGGATCCCCACGGTACGGTCTGGCCACCACCTTATCCCTCCAGTGATAATACTCGAGTATACCGAAACGGTGGCCCAGGGTTCCAACCTACCCGACCGAGCCCAGTCCTGGCTCGAGTAGGTCAGTAACCAAGGGCAGGGCCCAAGTTCAGCTTAGAGCTTACAACATGCACAGGTAACCAAGTAATTCGACAAAAGGTAAAATTCATCATTTGAGTAGGTCGAGTGAGGTAAAGTACACACTCGCCTAATAATGATGGACAGCTTCATATAACATGTGATTCATGATAATCAAGTAATCAAGTAGATACTTAGCACGTAAGCACGTAAGCAATACAAGTTGATTTCATGGAAGCATGTAATTCACGGATATCGAATAGTCATGTAGATTGGAAATCATGTGAGCAAATAGTCAAGTAATCAAGTAGTCATGTGGTTAGTAAACGGTTCACGGTTAACGGTTAACGGTTAAGTAGTGACGGTTAATTGACAGGCATTTGTCAAATGAATAGGCCATCATTGGCCGTTATCCCATTTTTATCATGTGAGAGTCGAGAAGATTCACTCCAACGACGTATGCATCCATAGCATACCAAGTCATGTTATTCGAGCATTTCCAAGCAATGAGTTATTCATCTCAAAAGAGAACGAGTGCGATAAAGTACACACTCGACTCCATTTCTCAAAATCAAGTAGGCTAAGTAAACAATCTAGCAAGTTAAGCATGTATCGAGTTCATATGGTCATTTGATATGGTTAATCATTTAACCAATTCATGTAGATATACAATGCAAGTATAGATTCCTTAAATAGGCATGAGTATGGTAAATACTTAACACATAGCACTTAACACTTAATAATCATGAAATAAGCGTGTCCTAAACTTATTCAATTACGTATTCCTATATGGAACACTCACCTAGTCAAAACAAACGAGTAGTTTTCAAACAAGCGTTTAGGTGTCCGCTCCGAGTTCCTCTTGGAGATTCCCTCGAGTGCCTGAGTAAACAATAATCAAGTACCACTCAATATCACTACGAATCTCTAATTATCGAGAAAGATTGTACGCTACTGCAATCTAAGGAAATCTTATGAAAATGAACCTCAATTACTCGTAAATCGAGGTTCAAGAGTAAAGTTTTAAAGTCTAAAGAGAGAGACTAACATTTTCCATGAAATCGAGTTCAAGATGTTCAATCGGTATCGAAAAAAGAAGGCAAGTTTCCAAAATCTCATTTTCTAAGAAATTGACAAATTTCAGTTTTGGGTGTCAATTTAGAAAAATCGTATCTTGCACTATGTAGGTCCATAATTAGAAAGCTTGATACCGTTGGAAACTTCTTCAAAAGCACTAAAAGTTTCTAGAAGATACTTTTCCATGATTCCAAACGGAAGATATTCAAAAATTGACTCAAAGTTGCTGCTTGGGACCATTATGACAGTTTCGGGGTTGGTTTTTGACCAACTTTGAAAATCCAGCAAAATTCACACAATACGAACTAGCCTCCGAAATTTAGAACTCAATTAGAGCTACAATCAAAGTTTAAAACAAAACAAACGGAACAAGAATCAAAGTTTTGAGCGCCAAGATATAGCAGCTCAAAGTTGGCTAAAATTTCCTCCTCGATCAAGAATTTCCAGATTTAAACATGAACTTTGGGATGTTGGTTGAACACTGAAACGGACTTCGAATGGCACCAAATTTAGCAGTATTACACTACCATATAGGGGTTATTCCTCTGCAAATTTTCAAGCAAAATCTAGCACGAAGAGTCAATTAACAAAACTGTTGAAGTTTTCAAGAATTTCCAAGGCAATCTGCCTCGTACCTTTGTTTTTCTTTTCTCAAACATTTGGCCACTAAAAACCTCTCAAATATGGTTCATTTGCATAGATAATGTCTAAGAAACATCCAAGCTGTATTTGGTAGGTGATTTATACCAAGAATTTCGAATGACAAGTCCCAAGTAAAGATTGGCTAATCGGCTAAGAGAAAAGGAAAAGTTTTCCAGATTCGAAGAGCAATTTCGGGGCATCATTTGCATATCAAAATGGTCTTAGAATATCACCAAATTTTGCACAATTAAACCTCCATATGAGGACCACTCCTCTATCAAATTTCATTTGAAAATTCACACGAGAAGGTAGTTAACTAAACCATCAAAATTCAAGAAATTTCCCAAGGTAAAACTGTCTTCTAGCTCTTCTTTCTTTTTAAACATTTTGTCCAATGCAACCAACCCAAATCTGGTTTATTTGTAAAACAAAGTCCAAGGAACATCTAATATAAAGTTTGGTAGATGTTGGACATCAAAGTTTCCAAAACAACAAGTCCCAAATCAAGCTAGGCCATTCAACTAGTCAAAAGAGGATTTTTACTCACTGCATCAGTTTCGAAATATGGCCACAACTCACTCAATTCAACTTGGAATTGAGCGTGGTTGATGGTGTTGGAAAGCTCTCTCATAAAGCTGAATTTTATCAGAAGAAACCATTTTGAAATTCTATCCACAAACAGCTCGTTTTTGAGCATCAAGATACAAGTCCTGTCCTGTCTCCTGGAGAGAAACGAAACAGTACAGTGATTTTCAATCGAATGGTGTGGCTCACTCAAGTGGAACCAGAACGTGAATTTGGTATCAATGGAAAGCTGGGAATGTCTAGTTTCCAGTGCCGCAAACAGCACTTGATTTCGACATCGGAGTAAAGAGTTATGGCCGATACAAAATGACTGCCTGGGCAATACGGGATTCATTTTCCAGTTTTGCTAACTTTGGAAATCAATTCATTTGACTAACCAAATCATGTTATTTTTCAATAAAATTTTGTACACACTCACACTAACATGTAAACAATATAATCAAGTCATTAGAGCTTCAAAAGTTTGCACAAAAATGGTCGGACAAAGCAGGGGTAAAACGGTCACTTTTGCTTCTTGCACCCAACGAAGTTTCTATCAATTACACACCATTAATCCATCATTTTAACCACTAAACCAACAATATATCCACCATCAATCAACAAATCAGCAACAACCCAAGAGTGGGAGTTTATAGAGCCCACTTTCACATTTTATACCATAAACAAGACTACCCACATGATTATATAACCTTATATGTGCAATATATCTTACAAAAACTAAGATCTATGGGTTGGATGATTTGCTACCTTCTTGGATGACTATATTAGAAATTTTGGTCACTCTTTGCTCCAGAAAACCGTGACTTTTCAGCTCCCTTTTGCAGCTCAAAATACTCCTCAAGTGTTATATTAAGTGTGGGTGAAATTTGAAGTGAATTAGAGAAGATTTGGTGAAGATTTGATGGAGGAATTTGAAGAACTCTTGAGCTGTTTTTCTTGCTTGTTGTTCGGCCAGATGAGGGAGCAAGAGAGAGAGTGTGATCAGATTTCTAAGCTTCCAAGAGAAGACATTAACTTGTGGTCTCAAATCACCCATTAGTCAACTCACATTAGGGTGCGTTTGGCGCGATTAGGGCTCGATTTTCTCGCGCGTTTGTTTCACTAGTGCACTAAACCTCTAATGCACTTATATTCATATAACTATTATTCACTCTTAAATTGTCCCAAAATAAGGGTCTAAAGTTCCTAAATTAAATCGCGCGCGTAAAAACGCGTACTTCCAATTTATGCGCGATAAGACGAAATTTCTGAAAAATTCTTATAACGATAGTACTAATAACTATCACTTGAGTATTTAAACATTAAAATGCCTAATTTAGGTCCATTGTACATGTCTCCAATATTTCAAACCTATTGTACTCTCAATCGATCAAGATTTCCAAAGACGTGTTCACTATTTTCACTAAACGAACTTTCGAAAATTAATTTTTGAAACAAGTCATTTTAAAAACATAATGAAACTATATTTCCATGTAATTAGGTCTCAAGAGGTTAGAAAATAATATTCGGAGTAAAAGACCAAATAAATAATTAAATAAGTTAGAAATAGGAGATTAAATAAGTAAATTTTGCGAGTTCTCACACCTTCTGATTTTATATTCATCAAATCACTACACTAATTTTTTTATGAAAATACTTTGAAAAATAACAATCCAAATGGGATCAAAGTGTCGTGCCATTTATTAATTATTCAGTGGCGGGGGGAAGAGACTGGGGAGTGGAGTAAATAAAAGAATATTAAAGTGGGCGGCGCGTCTGCTGAAGAACCCAACTAAAAACCTCCACTCTCGTCACTTATCTCTCCTGTTTTCTTCCTCTGCCTCTTCATCTTTCGTTTTTTCTTTTCTTTTTTTTTTTTTCCCATTTTTGTGCAAACAACAATAGACTGGGGGCGGGGAGAGAGAGAGAGAGAGGGAGAGAAGAAAAAGGTAAAACGAAATTTCGGGAGAAAAGATATTTTATTACAACAAAAAGTTGACCAAAAAACAAGAAAGAGATAAACCAGGAGACTAGGAGAGAGAAACCCCCAATCCCAAACAAAGGCATAAAAGAGGAAAATGGAAGAAGAATACAGGGGAATACGCTACTAGCATCGTATCGTCATCATCAAAGGACTACAACTATATACAAAAAGTTTCTTACAAGAGAGAGAGAAAGAAAGAAAGAAAGAAGCTGCAAAGCACAAAAGATTAAACGGGTTCTTCTTCTTGGATTGGGTTCTTCTTCTTCTCTCTCTCTCTTTTTTTTTTTTTTTTTTAAATTCTCGCTCTATATTTGTATAAATTGTAAAACGAAATACAGTCGCGCACCGTGAGTTGAAAAAATCCATGCATCCAATATCCACATATTATTTACCACTATTGGCAAATAGCTAAGGCTGGTTTTTTCTTTGAAATTTAACCCTTGACGACAAACCACAACCCTGACGAGTCTTTCAATTCTCCTCTCCTTCCTTGTTAATCCTTCTTTCTACTAGCGGTCCAGCAGAAAGCTTTCCAATTTACCCAAGCAGAAGAGGAAGAGGAAGAAAGAACAAAATGATGATGCCATCAATTTCACCATCTTCTTCTTATAATACAGCCACAGTTTCGTCATCATCGGCAATAGTTCGAGTGGAGAAGGCCACCAGCGAGTTCTTGATCGGTCCCGATTGGACCATGAATATTGATATATGCGATACCCTCAACTCCAATCAGTGGTATTTTTTTTTTTAAAAAAAAATAACTTTTCGTTCTTTGTGGTTATGTATGCATACAAATACCCTCTTCTTCTTCTTCTTCTTTTTAATTTAACTGTCCTCAGAATTTTGGCACCTTTTGTCCAAGGTGTTGAATTTTCCTTGAAAAGCTGACTTTTTGTCGTTCTTCTGGGGAATACTGGATTTTCTGGACTTTTTTTCCTTTTTTTTTTTTTAAATTTTGGTGCAGTGAATTTTGTTTTGAGATTTAGGAAACTAGAATTTCAGTCCACAGAGGCTGACAAGCATATGTTATATTGTTTATGTTGGTACGATATTACCATTCGACTAGAATTTCAAGGCTGTGCTTTTTGGGTTTTTTAGGGGTCTGTAACACGGGTAGAAGGAATTATTTTTTTATTTGATGTTTGAACTTAACTTGTGAATTTAAAATGGAGGAGTTTCAAGCTTTTGATGGCGTTGGTAGGTGCTTGACATAAATGAGAACGAGGTGGGCTTTGTTGCTCATATGATTCCTACCTTTGAATTGTGAATTTGTGATCGTGGGGATCAACTCTTGGGTCTTCCGTAGTATATCATTAAGGTGTTTGGCAAAGAACAGATAGAAAGGGAAAACCTTAGGCATGCCCTTTGTGTACTTTGTCCTAGTCCTTCCAATTCATCCATGTTGGAAACTCATAATCTTTACGTCATTTTGCCGACTGAAAGAAATGGATTCACTGAATTCTTCCATTCTATTCTTTTTTTTTTTTTTATTAAATACTGCTCAGGCTTGCAAAAGATGTTGTCAAAGCTGTGAAGAAAAGATTGCAGCACAAGAACCCTAAAGTTCAACTACTTGCCTTGACGGTAATTGATTTGGAATTCTTGTCTTCAGTTGCACTTTACATGATGCTTCAAAGAAAACATGTCCTTTTTTTTTTTTGGTTTTTTTTTTTTGGGGGGTGGGGGGGGGGTTGGTTGGGAGTTGTTTTGTTATTTGCTGCAAATGTCAGTGGGTTGCTGTTAACTAGAACTGGTATCAAGCACTTGGTTTTTCTTTTTCCTATTGTCTCTTTTAATCGTGGTGCTGGCATACATCGAAGCTTTTGTTTCAATTCTATTTTGTTGGATCTCTACTTCACCTTTGCAGCTTGCTAACCGTGGCCCTATATATTGTATAGCTTCTAGAGACAATGGTGAAGAATTGTGGTGATTACGTCCATTTTCAGATAGCTGATAGGAACATTTTACAGGAGATGGTCAAAATTGTAAAGAAAAAGGCAAGTTTTCTTCGTTTGCAAGGAACTATGAGTCTGAGTGTTGATAAACATTTTAGTTTCCCTTACGTTAGAACTCTGCATGTGTTTTTTTTTTCCCTGATTGGGACTGTACTAGCCATTTCTGAAAGTATGACACAGTGTGCTAATATTTTGGCTTCAATTAGATTTCTGTTATTTGCATGCCTGTGAGTTCATTGTAAGAAGATTTTGTTTGAGTCAGATATCCTCTGCTCGTGATATTGCATATTTGAATAAGAAAGTAGGGTGACTTCATTGGGGTGCTTCTGTTAAATTACAACTTCGAATCTTTCATGGGTCCGTATATGATCTACCGGTGATGAAAACAGCATTGCCTGTGGCATGAGCCATAGAGTATGTAACTTGGGTGGTGGCAGAGGACAAATTACAAGTTTGTTGTCTCTAATAGTGATCACATTCAAATAGTCAAATGCTGCTATGGAGTTGGGAGTAGTTAGAAAATCTTTTTAATAATGCTGTGCAATTGCACTGCTAAGACTGTGGAAGTTTATATACTCTTTAAGTACGACGAGCCTTCGCAATGCTTAATGTGACCTATTTTCAGCATTAACAAAGATATGACCCATGAAACCTAAATCCCTCAAAAGTCATTTAATTGAGGGTGGTTTTGTTTTGTTTTGTTTTCTTCTCTTTTTTTAAATCTTAGTTTTTTTTTGGACCTTCATTTCCCTACCTGTAAAGTATCTCAACTTTATTTGTTTTCTGGATGGATGCATGCTTAACCTGTCACTTAGGATTCATTCCAATAGAGTTCCTTCAACTCTTTTTTCAGACTGATATGCATGTTAGAGACAAAATACTGATGTTGTTGGACTCTTGGCAAGAGGCATTTGGTGGCCCTGGAGGGAAATATCCCCAATATTACTGGGCGTACGAGGACTTAAGGGTAAGTCCAATTTTGGATTACAGCTGACTGTTTGCTTAAAGCTGCTATTATTACTTGATTCCATTAATCTTTGAATGATTTTATTATCTGAATTTTATTTTGGTGATAGCTATTTTATATGGTGAATTGTGCTGCTTCAGTTTTTTCATATTTCTTCAGAATTTTTTCTGATACACCCTCAACTCAAAAGTAATAGAATTTATTAAAGATAAACTGGATTCATGGAATAACAATTTATTAAATTAAGAAAGAGCAAGTTGTATAGCTTATGTATAATGAACAATAAAAAAAAATAAAAATGAGAGAACAATGTAAGCATGATGTTACATTGTAGACTATAGCAGTCCTTGAAGGCACTCTAATGAAGCTGACAAATGACCTTTTTTCAGCAATACCACATTACCTGGTAATGTTCTATGAATGCTGTTTATTGCCTAACTTGGCATAAGCCACCCTGCAGCCACGTTGATTATTATGTGTTATTTGTGATTCTGCATGTATCAGCGTTCCGGTGTGGGCTTTCCCCAGCGTTCATTAGATACAGCTCCTATATTTACACCTCCTATGACGCATCCAACACCACGACATCCACAGCCTGGCTATGGAATGCCAAGCAATTCCTCTACTAGGCTTGATGAAGCCATGGCTGCAGAAATGGAAAATTTAAGGTTAAAATTACCTTCGAAATTTTTACACAATATTCCTAAATCTTGTGTTCTATGTCTGTTACGTTTCACTTTATGTTTTTTGTTAGCTTATAGTTTGATTTTGGATTATTTTTGTGGTTATAGTTTGTCAAACATAGGGTCTATGCGCGATGTTCTGGATCTCTTAGCTGACATGCTTCAAGCTGTCAATCCAAGTGATCGCTCGGTAGAAAACTCTCTATTCTGTTCATGGTTCCGAAATTTTCAGAAAATTTCCTCACATTTACTTCTCTGTAGGCTGTAAAAGATGAAGTGATACTTGATCTTGTTGAGCAATGTCGTTCCAACCAGAAGAAATTGATGCAGATGTTGACTACTACAGGGTCTCTCTCTCTCCCTCTCCCTCCCTCCCTCCCTCACTCCCTCTGTGTCTCTGTGTGCGCGCGCGTGTATTTTGGTCTCTGCATGTATTGCTGTTTCACTGGGTGTTCTTGCTGAAGTGGTTTGCTTGTGGATCTGTGTATTATGTTTGTGCTAGGGATGAAGAACTTCTAGCTCAGGGCCTGGAGTTAAATGATAACCTCCAAAATGTGCTAGCAAAACATGATGCTATAGCATCTGGTTTACCTCTGCCAGTTGAATTGACAAATCACAACCTCCAATTGAATGACAAACATCATTCTAGCATCAAACAAGATAATGCTGTAAAAGGGAGTGAAACAACTAATGGTAACCCTTCACCAGTTCCCAGGATTCAGATTGATGAAGATGATGAAGAGGAAGATGACTTCGCACAGCTGGCACGAAGGTATTTCTTCATTTATATTTGTATTTCATGTGCTATACTTGTCATCAACTTCACATGACAGATTGGCAGTCTCATTGTTCCGTTGGTTGTTTTTTGTAATGCTAGTAATATGTGTTTAGGTTTTGAAGTTCTTGGATTCATTCACTAAATGTTTGAAGAAACCTTGGGACTTGTGGATACATGATGGTATCCTTGCTGTTTGGGGTTCTGGATGTTTGGTCTGCATCCAAAAGGCTCTCTCCACTTTGATTCATGTTTTCTTCTAAAATTTTGCTTGTGATTGCAGGCACTCAAAGATAAACATATCTGCTACTCCAGCTTCAACCATGCGAGGCAGTGATGGTGGCACTCTAAGTAACAGCAGCGATATGAGAGCTCAGGAAGCATCTTCCACCCTGGGCATGAGCGATGCTTTAGTTCTTGCTGATCCACCAGCACCAGCTAGAACTACAAAAGAGCAAGATGTGATAGACCTCTTGAGCATTACGCTGTCAACTAGTATGCCACCCGCCCCGCCTCAGGCATCTACTTCCTTAAAGCAAAACCTACACGAGGGGACCGCACTGAGCACAGGAGATGACAACTCTTCTGTGTCTCGTGCTTATAACCAATCCCAGTCCGTCAATAGTTACATTACTCCTTGGGCTCAACCTCAAGCTCAGCCTCAACGACAGTTTGAACCGCAGCCGCAACAGCAACAATTAGCACAGGAGTCTCAAATGCCGCAGTCTAAGTATCATTCTCAATTTTATAGCCAACATGATCCTCAATCACAGTTTAGGCCCCAAGCTCAACCAACGCTTGACCAATACTCTACTGGCTACCCTCCACCACCATGGGCCGCCACACCTGGTTACTTTAGCAACCCGAATCCTTTGTCTAGATCTCCTTATGCATATTCAACAGTTCAAGCCACATCATCCATCTCTTCACAAGGAACCAGAACTTCACAGCATACGAGCATGACTCCTGTAAGTGGAAGCAATGTGTCAGCTACAAATGGAGATGCACGGCTTGGTCCTGGGGGACACAAGCCCTTTATTCCATCATATAGACTGTTTGAAGATCTTAATGTTCTTGGAAACGCTGATGGGAGATTTAAGATGACAAGTAATTCAACTCCTCTATCTGGAACTAACGGCCATGGCATGGCCAGGGGAGGAAAATGAATACAGCTTGTTGATTTATGCCTAGTCACTGCGTTATGCCATGTTTGCCAGTAGTTGGGGGCCCAGGCCCGCGGGGAGGAGAGAAGCTTGCAAAAAAGAGAGGGAAGGGGGTCAGACAAAATAAGATTTAGGAGAATTATCGTATCAGAAATTTTCAATAATAATAATATATTCTTTCAAGTGAATTATAAAATCAACTTATTTTTATGTAAGTTGACCATTAAAAGAGATTTAAAATTTCTCTGGAGTAAAATTTTTTAAACTCTTCTTTAGACTGTAGATTGAAATTCAAGCCCCAAACCTTACAATTTTTAAAAAAAAAAAAAAAAAAATTCAAAGTGTGGGCCACAACGTTCCCTTAATCTTAACGAGCCACTTGTATAACCCAATTTGGATTTGCCCCTCCATTGTTTGTACATCACGATACCCTAGATGTTACCAATTGAACCCAAAAAAAAAAAAATCATGGCATCATTGCCTAAATATTTAGAAGATTTCTGAACTAGTGTACCTTCAAATATTACGAGAAAAATAAGATACATCGTGTAATGAAATTGATATAAAAAACTATTGCGGGACAAACACCTGGAGATCGCTAGCAAGTCTCTAACTAAAAGCATACTCTGTGTCATAGAACTTCAAGGGCAATTTTAAATAAAGGCAACCCAGTTCAATACCATCTAAAGTGCAGTAAAGCTGATTTGAAAATAAAAAGAAAAAGAAAAAGGAGAGCTACAGACAAACTGCCCAATCAAATAACAGTATACCTGTGGAACGCCAGTGGAAAATAGAATACAAATGCCTTCCATTCAGTAAAAGGTACAATACTGCAGTTGCACAAGAGCAGAGAATTTCAACAAGCTGCTCAAACTATCAGCAAGAAGTTTAAATAACAAAAAACCTTGCAACATGTTCAGTGCAGCATAGAACCAAACCATAAGATGTAAACGGTTCTTGGAAGGGGAATACAACCGATAACTGCTTACAACCAATTTAATTTATATTAATGAAAACTTAGTTAATCTGTACAAATTTGAACAAAGGTCTCAGATGAGCAGACCATGATGGAAACAAAAGGGAGAGATCAGGTACTAAATATCAAAAGGTGCAAGCTAAGCAGAAAGGAAGCAGAAGAATAGAGAATATTTACACCTTTCTCTTACCTACGTATTTTGATTATTTGCCAAAGCCTCCAATGAATGCGATGATACTCCCAATTTTGGGCAACCCTCTAAATGCAGAGACTTAATGAATATGTAACATACATCTTCCAAGGCAGTGGTGTCATTTTGTATTTTAAGCACATTCACTGCAAAAAGGAGCAAATTGTCATTCTACGCTTCATTTGCACCAAAGATCCTTCTGTTGAAGAACTCTTTTATCTTCAATCAGCCACCAGTAAGGAAAGTCTCATAAAGCCATTACAAGTATCCTCATCTTGCAGTAGATGTCGCATCAGCATAAATAGAAACGCAAGCATCTGCAGTGCCAGCAGCAAGCAACACTTCATAAGGATGGAAGGTAAGGCTGCTAACAGACCCAATCTTATGGGCCATGAAACTTGGGTAATATCGAATGCTGCCTAATTGCTCTCCTTCCAAGTTGAAGATTTTGATAAGCTGCTTTGCGGAGCCGCTAGCAATAAGGGGAGCATGTCGATGGACAGCTAAAGCAGTAAGTGAACCCCGGTGAGCATCAATTGTGAGATACGTATCCCTGAGATGTCTCAAATCAAGGAACTGAATATAGCCAGCTTGCGAGGCACTCACAATCTGAGCCCAAAAAAAAAAAAAAAAATGGTACAAGAGTTTATGCTGATCTGAGGTAAATAACTGATTTGAATATGATTTCTCATTCACTAGGAAGTAGTAGCAGCAGATAGGAGTATGCATTTTACCTTTCCTGGCTCAAGTCCAGGTTGAAAGGCAATTCCTACAATTTTTTCTAATCTCTGTGTATGCGGTTGTGTTGCAGAAACAAGCCTAAACAATAGATATCAATACAATGTCAGGTATGAAGTGCAAAGCCATAGAAAAGAAATCTCTCTAAACGTTTGCAGAGTCAAAAGAAGAAAAAAAAAACACGTGCAGTTGAAAACAAGATAGAAAAAATGCAACATGCTAACTTTCACAAACCTTTGTTTCTTATAACATGTTTAAGTTTATGAATGAGACCAGACATTTCCTGGTGAAATTATTTCAATATCTCAAGCAGATACTGAAACAATTTATATCACAGAAGCATAGCTTTTCAAACCAAAAGAAAGTGGAAAGCATTGAAGATAATTCTTCTCGCCCTTAAAACTGAAAAATGTAAAGAATGTCTAACCAATTCTTACATTTCAGGTGTCCGAGTGTCATATAATCTCACAAATCCATCCGAAAAACCAGCCACGAACTGGCCCCCATGAATGTGAGAAGCAGACTGTAATGTCATGGTCATATATGCTAGTTAGATATGTCACAAGACAAAAATGTCCAACAAGCTGTATCCAGATTCAGGGTTAAAAAAATCTGTTGAGATAAATAATAATAATAATAAATCACAAGGGAACAATACCATTTCACTCAACAGGATAAGAATTGCAACAGAACTCACCAGTGCTGAAATGCTGCAATCTGAGGATAATGGTATAGTATTTACAAGCTGCTCCTTATCCAGATCCCATGCCATGATAGATGACACTTCACCCGAAGCAAACTGTTCACAAATCAACCAATTGATGTATCATAAACTGTGGGACAAACAAGAGATAACAAAAGTAAAAGGCGTGCAAGCCAGCCCATGCACATCAGTGAACTTGCACCCAGCCACTCATCCCATGGAAGTTTATGATACATTGAAAGTTGGAAAATGTACCAGACATCCAGACTGCTGTTGCCAATCGACTACTGCATTCACACTCCGCACGCCTGGCCTGTGACCTTGAATCGAAGAGAGTGCAGTAACCAGTTTTTGTTGACCTTTTGAAGTATAATCCTTCCAAATCCGGACATTTCCATCACCTGCGTAAAGTTTAATAGTATATTCAATTCTAAAAAGTCGGGCATATATGACCGGCTTAAAACTTGCTCAGTAAGAGACTTACTTGAAGCAACAAGCAGCAAGCTCTCATCAAGTTCATTCACAAGACACAGCTTTGAAATTCCTTTGTCAGGGTAATCATGATTCTCAAAACTGTTCAGTAGTGTAGATTCCTCGTAATTCCAGATTCTATGACACAAACATGAAGTAATTGAATTGTCATGCACAAAAGTAAAAAGATGTCGAAACATTTTCATGATCCAAGTTTCACCTCTTAAGCCACTGTAATATGCCAAAGAATGGAAAAATGATCAAAATCACATACAACAGAAAACAAAATTTATCAAACAAGAAAAATGAGAATATACCACAGGAAAGAAAGAACTTCATGAACACATTGTACCCCAAAAAGAAAAATAAAAAACAAAAGCTTCTAAACCGACCCATAACCATGCACAAAAAACGTTTTTCATCACATCTAGCATTTTGAATATCCAAGTACGCAAAAAATAGCATATGCATGACAGCCTGGATAAGCAAGTTGCTGTCATATGGACATCCTCAGTCCACAGTGCAACTTGCTAGGATAACAATACAATTCATAAGTATGGAAATCAAAGTGACCAAATATCTCTGCCTGCTAGCTATGCGAATTTGTCATGAAAAGCAATGTGCAACAGATATATCAAACTAGAAGGCAGAATAAACTTGCTCTACCTGATTGTCTCGCTCTCATCTGAAGCAACCACGACTGGAGAAAAGGGCTGCAGCAAAGCAGTTTTGGTGCCTGTCTCAAATTTTGCATCCCAACTGGCAATTTGATCACGCAGTCTGTTCACAGCTGTCAAAAGAAAGGGCAAGGATGCTGTTAATCCTCCCCCTCCCAAAAAAAAAAAAAAAAAGAAGAAGAAGAAATTATCCTAAGACTGAAAAGTCAAAAGTTAAAACTTAAAATAAGAATTGGTCAGCATAATGCCATACCAGAATGTTGGCATTTTGCAATACGGTCCAAAGCCAGCTTTTCTCTCTCTTCTCTTCTGGCAATAATCTCTTCACTATCATCAGTAGCTGTGAGAAGAGGCTTTGAGAAGTGACCACAACTCCAATTGTAGATCGTAGACTGTGGAAGAAAACTGCGTTCTGAAGCTCCAGCAGGTCCAGCTGTTGCCAAAAGTGGATCAGCTAATCCAGAATCTGGAGAATTCATTAGATGTGGTCTAAACTCCAAGGAATACACTCTCCGCATTCCTGTCAAGTAACTAGGCCGAGGAGGGCTAACTGGAGGTGTTCTAAACGTGAGAGGCAAATGCCCTACAGCAACCAAAGAATAAAATTAGGACTTAGAGAATGATAAGAAGAAGACAGATGCTAAGTCCCAAAGCTTTTAACAAGAAAAAGAAAAATCAAACTCAAGAATAAGAAACTCAGCAACAGCAAACTTCATTTTCTAACAACCAGATTTTAGAACAGAGAACATAAGGTAAAACTTAAGATTGTGTACCTCCATTCATATCAAACCATGATGATGACCGAGCTAGTCCAGTGAGACTAGTGCTGGCATTAGCCATGGATTCACTAGGCTGGGCATTACCTGGAGTAGACCTCACTGGTTTTGCAACCACTGATTCAATGCCAATAATAGATAATACTCGACGACCAAGACTGGCGATTCGTGGCGATGGATCTTTGGCCAGAGTGCACATAGCCAACACACATTGTGAATAGAGTGCATTGTCAAGTGGTCTAGCCCTTGCATGGTTAACTACCCCATTGGTAATGGAGTCAGCCACTATGCCAGAATCAGAATGCTGAGATGAATCATCAGAGAGAGGAGAGCCATGCATGATTCCAGATGTTGCAAGGGGGCTACTGGTAAACACTCTTGCATCACGAACTACAGGCTGGCTGTTTTCCCCAACTCTGAGCAAAGGAGAAACTGCAGATGGAACAATACTTCCATGAGGCATGTATTGTGTTGGAGTCGTATAGCCACTACCTGAACCCTTGACTGCAAACG